GGGGCGTGGTGGGGAACGGGTGGGGGGCTCCGTCGGGCACGGCCGAGGCCGGGCCATCTGTCTCCACCTGGGCGTGGGTGTGAGGGTGCGGGGCTCCGGGGACTTGGCGGGTGCGTTCCGAGGGCAACGCGGGGGCCGAAGGGCTGGAGCGGGGCAGGGAGTTCTGCCCCTCCAGAAGTTGTGGGGTGAGCCAAGGGCGGTGTGAGGGTGTGAGCCTGGCTCTTGCGCTAATAGTTGTGGGGTGTGAAGGGGTGCGGGCACCGGGCGGGGGCTGTGCGCTCACACTCCAGTTCTTGCTGCCTGGGTGAGCGTGTAGCGAGGGCTGAGTTGTGCAGCAAGTATGGCTGAGAGTTTGTGTGTGTGTGTGTGTGTGTGTGTGTGTGTGTGTGTGTACGCGCGCGCGCGCACGCCTGTGTGGTCCAGCCTCGAGGTGTGTGCGTGTGGTGGGGGGAAGCACAGTTGGGTGTAGAGGGAGAGCGCCCCTCACCCTCCTCTTCCCAGCTGCCCCTCTCATCCCATTCACAGAATATGGCTTTCAGGACCCTCCTGGTCTCCTCCTCCCGTCGCCATGGCTGCGGGGAGGGGGTGGGAGGAGACAGTTGGGGCCAGCCCCCTGCCCCTGCTGCTCCGGCTAACCCCCCACCTGCCCTTTCCCTCCCTTCCACAGGCTGGGCCCCATCCCCTGCTGCTCTGGGGGGCAGGGGCCGGAAGATGGTGGCCAATGAGGAGGGGGAGCGGAGAGAACTTGAGCCGGGGCCTCCCCTCCCCCATTTCCTCCTCGGTCTCTACACTCGCTTCTGGAAGGAGCTGGGGGCTGGCTTCTGGGCCCAAGGTGGGGGAGGGGCCTTGCTGGCTGGTGATTCGCAGGGCCCGCTCCTCCGGAATGAGTTGGGTGTGTGAGAGCCGAGGGGCTCTTGGTCCCAGCCGCCTCTCCCTTCGCTCTCTAAGGAGAGATCTGGGAACTCCTTGGGAAAGACTCTTCCTATAGCCTTCCTGAAGCTTGCTGGGCAGTCCTGTCTTTACCCATCTGTCCGCTGTTGGTGTGATCCAGTTGCCAGCTGGGACTGGTTTGCCCAACCCCAAGAACAGATTAGGCCGGGCGAGTGACCCCAGAGAGGTCTTGGTTTCCATCCATTAGAACTGTGCAAACTGTGAGGCTGGGCCCCGTGTTTGCAGATTACAGGAGCAAACTCTGCCTGGGGAGGCGGAAGAGAACCTCTCTTGCTTCCTGACGGGGTGGAAAGAGGCTAGCGGGGAAGACCAAAGGAAGAGCTCCCAACTGGAATTCTGTCCTCCATTCCTCCTGCTGGCTGTGGAATGGGGAATAGGGCGTTTCCCAGAGGCAGCCCAATGGCCTGGGAGGTCTTCGTCGATCAGGGCCCAGGAGGAGCCACCCCCACAGCCTCTGACTCTGGGCTGCACACAGTTCACCAGGTCAGATGGCTGGAATGTGCCGCACTAGAGCCTGCCTGGCTCTGAACCTTTGACGATCCAGGTGTCCTTCCAGGGCATTCTGCTTTACATTTCAATCAGTCCCAGCACTTTTTGTACTTTAAGCTCCTTAGGCTAGGATAGGATGGGAATTACTGGATGAGCCTGAAGACTCCCTAACCAGAGTCCCTGTACAGGACAGGAAACAGCTCAGATTCTAATCCCACTGCCAGTTAAAGCCTATCCCTAACTCTCAGTATAAGAGAGGGAATCACCCTCACCATTTTGTTTAATGCCAAATGCAGAAAGTGCTTTGAAGACCTCCAAAAGGAGATGCAGGGGTGGGGCTTCACCAGTAGCTTCCACCTCCACACCTGGAAGCTTCTCTCTACTGCCTGGGGACCTGTAACTACACTCCCCCACTCTCTGGTCCTGGAGGTTCATCTGAGATTTCCACCTTGAGGCTAGAACTCCCCTTTACCTAAATTAAAAGGAGAGAGAACTTTAGGGAAGCGTGGAAGTTTCCATGGTTCTGGACATCAAGTTCCGCTCTGGAAGGGAAGCTGCCCGAAATGCAAACCCCAATAAACACAGCCTCATGCATGTGTCCCCCAAACTTTTGGGATTTCTAGCAGTCATTTCCTTCGAGGACTGAGTGCCCAAGATCCTGGTATCCCTTCAGCTTCCTTATTGGGCCCTTATCCCCACCCCAAAACCTCAAAGGAAAAGGTGGTCTCTGTGCTAGGGAGGGGCTGAGAAATAAGGCGAAAGTAGGAGTGGAAAGAAAACAGGATTAACACCGAGAATGGTGCAGAAGGGAGGAAAGCTGTACCTACCAGAAGGGGCAGAGGGAGCCTGTGTGCTGACTGGGCCAGGGACTGGGAGAAGGTGAGGAGGCAGGGTCGGCATGCCTCTGCTGCTGGCCAGAGCTCTTTTCACATTGTGCTACTGTCTGCACCTGTCACTAGCAGTGCAATGTTAAAAGGGCATTGGCCGTGTAGTGCTACTCAGCGCCGGCTGCCTCCTCAGCGTGGCAATTTCCTCTCCCGTCTAGGCACCAGTCAGCCTGGTGGGAATTTGGGAATCCTCACTTAGTAGTCATACTAGCTACTCACATTTATGGAGCTACTTCTGTGTGCAGTGCTTATGCTACACACTGCATGCATGATTGCGAACCCTAATAACTTCTTGGTAGGTAACGTCCCCATTTTACAGATGAAAAAACTGAGGGCCAGAAAGGTATAAATGGTTTAGCCAAGATTATATAGCTCTGACATTGCAGAGCCTGGATATAACCCTCAAATCTGACAGCTAACCCATCTTTTTGTAGACCTATCAGGAGAGATCTGTGTGGGTTCTCTCAACTGAGAGGGTTCCTGAGCTGAGGTGGGGGAAGGTTTTGATGCCATCTGCTGGTTGTATGAGGGTATCTTCCAAAGTCTCAAGCCTTTACGGATAAAAGTGGCAGTGACTCCTTGGCTGAGAAGTATAAGGATTCCTAGACTGAGCCTGGACTGAGGAGTGGGTGGAGAAGGTTGGGAGAATCACTGTTAGGCCCGGAGTAGACCTCCATGAGAAAAAGAGGATGCACAGGAAAGGAAAAAGGTTTAACATGAAGGGACTGCTCCCCAGTTAGAAGGACCTGTGTGCCCCTGGCATCCCATACCTGCAGCTTGTCCCTATCTTGTGGGGCACAGAAAGACCTCATCCCTCCCCTGCCTCCACCTGCATTTCCCAACACCCCCCCTCTTGGTCACAGGGTATTTGATAGTGATGCTTCTTGAGGGCACACCTGTCTGGGGATCCACGATTTGGAAAGTGCTGCCCATGACCTGATCTTAGAGATTAATAGGATCCCTTGAGCCAAGCCCACAGAATGATTCTTTCAGGACAGATTACAAAGAGTTTGACAGCAACAACTGTGCCGTTTAATTCTCTGTCTCCCCCAGCGCCTATCTGGCTTAAATAAGAACTTGTTACAGTAAATTGAGAGAGAGGCATATTTGGGGAGCTCTTTTAAGACGGCAGCTAGTTTGTGCCTGATTTTCAAGAGTAGAACTTGAGGCTTCAAAAGGCTTCCTGAACTTTGGTACAAGAAGTGGGCTTGAGAGGGACAGGGTTTCTGAGTCCCCTGCTGGAGCCCGACAAGGATCTCAGTACCACTGGGCATGTAGAAACAGAGGTGGGTCAGACCCTCCCGGAGGCTGCTCAGATGGGGGATGCTGGACATCATTCCTCCGAGGCTTGCACTTGCCCTCTTTCCTGGCCCTTCTCACCTCAATGTCTTCTGGTTCTCTTCCTCCTTTCTCCTGCCCAGACAGCTGCTCTATTTGGATGTCAACAAGAGTATTTGAGAGTACCATTAGTGTTGCGTCCCCTACTTTCTTTAGTCTATAAAAACTTGTATTTGAACCTCTCATCTGGGCACAAAACAGCCATTTGATAATGCCACTCCACTCTTGTTAAAAGACGGTAATTTTTTCCATGTTTTCCCGATGCGATTGGGATGAAATCTAGATTCTCTAAATACGTTATGCCCCCTGCCTGTCTCTTATTTCATCTCTTCTGTCTCACCCAACTCCAGCACAGGAAACTTATTTCCTTAAATGAACTGAGCTTGAGTTACCTGACACACAGTCTGCCTGAAATACTCCCTCCACTCTTGCCCTTTGCCTACCCTACATTTCATCTTTCAAGAGCCATCATGGTCATCGCTTCTGTGAAGCCTTCCTTACTCCTCAAATCTAGGCTAAGTTCCTCTCCTGTGAGCTCCTGAGCTTCCTCTACATCCCTGCCCAGAGCCCCCTCACCTTCTCCTGGGATTGCCTGGTCATTGCATGTCCTCCCCCTAGACCCAAAGCTCCATGAAGCTGGGCCATCGCTGCCTTGTTCACCATGAATCCCCAGTGCCTAACATGATGCTTAGTAGGTAGTAGGTGCTCTATAAATATTTGCAATATCAGTGAATGAATTGGGCAATAACAGTATAGCTTACCAAAAAGTGATCTTTGTCACGTATATGGTCTCCCCTGTAAGTGTCAGGCACCCAAACACCAGTGGGAATTTTATATCACTGCCCAAAAAATGCACCTTGGGTCACATAGTGTCATTGGTGCTGTGATTTTGAGCTATTTTATTTCACTTCTCAACTGCCAGGGAAGCACCTTAGCTGATCAATTTTCCTTTTAGCCTTAAGTGTGACCATGAGCTAACCAAAACATGACAAAACCAGAAAAGCCGTGAGACCCAACAAAATCCTTGTTCTGGGATGAGCCTCTTCCAGTTGCCCAATCCTAGATCCAGGCAGAAATGGACTTACTGTCAAGGGCTCCGGAAGACACGAGCTGTTTTGAGTGCTCTAGCTGGAACACAGCTCAAAAGCCTTTCCCTTCCTAAGTGAAACCTCACCTGAACACTTTATATCCCCTGGTAAAAACTCAGTGGCAGTCCTGCCACACACAAAGCAGCGGCTGCCCCCTAGTGGTAGGAAAAGACCCGCCCCGGCGTGTGTACGTGTGACCGGGACAGTACGTGCACGAGGAGAGAAACCCAAAGGCGGAGTGCCTCGCAGTTGCTTTTCCCCTTTTTATTAAAAATAGACCCAAACACTTTATGTATCATACAAAAGTTTCATTCGCTGGTGGCAGCCACGGGGAAGCCTGGCCCCGTGGCACTGACTGTCCACCTCCCCTCCAGGTGCTGGGGCCGGGGCGCAGCGGCTGAGGCCTCGGAGGATGCCCGTCCGGACTGCACGCTGCTCGCTCTGGGAACAGCCAGCTGCGGGTGGGGGCTGTTCCAGGGGCAGCTTTCCCCGCCCCGCCCAGTGGCAAAGGTCAGATACTCGAAAGTGCCTCTCTAGTGCCAAGATAAACTAACAAGTGGAGTGAAATGGAAACTCCTGTGATTCTTTCATTATTTCCCAGGGCCTGGGATTTGAGTTTTTCCTTCCACCCCTGAGTCCTTTCTGCTACAAATGGGGGTGGGAAACTGTTCAACCTCAGAGACTCTGATCTCTCCCGGTGTCTGAGGCCAAAATTTCACTCCAACCCAAGCGTTTTCTCATCTGCCATTCTGCGGCCTAGGATCTACCAGCCCCATGAACCAAAGCTTGTTCTCTGTTCACTCGGAAAGAGGTGGGGCAAAAATGGGTTCCTCCCACTGTGCTCTCTGCCTGAGTGTCCGCCCTGCCATTGCCTCAGTTTTCTGGGCCTTGGGGATAGAAGGACTCACAGCCATCCCTTTTCCCCTGTTCTGTCTCTCCCTGACTGCTGCCCACTCCTGAGCCTTAACCCCCCTGGGGTGCCCCCAGACCCCTGTTCCAAAAGAGGCCTGGTAGTGATGTGGTGGGGGCAGGGGAGGGGCTGGTTGGAGCTGGGCTTCCCCCAGGGGTAGGGCAGTACTCATGCTGGTATAGACTGCTTGGCAGGGCCAGGGGCAGGTGTGGGGAGGGTGGGGCATGCGGAGGAAGGGCACAGCCTGCCTGACCCTTCAGTCCCAGCCGTTGTCCTTCACCATGTGTGACATTTCAATGATGTACTTCCCTTCCTTGTACTTCTGGCTCGTCTCAAATGCTTGTTCCTGGTGGAGGAGGAAGCAGTGGATGTAGGGCACCGCAGTTCCCCTCCAGGTCCCACTACCTACTGCCTGTGTGACCCCTACCCCAAGGGTCCCCCACCTAGTCCAACCCAGTTACTAGCTCCCTCTTCCCTTGAGGACCAGGCAAAGACCTGACATGTGTGTGGTCTCTGGGGCTTGGAGGGCCATGGGGACTGTCCACCTTAGAGGGTGACCCTCTTCCCCAGGTACTTACATATTTCCAGCCCAGTGTGGTTTTGCAGCTCTCGCAGAAAATGTCAGCTACCGAGTGGAGCCCCGTGAGCAGGAGGCGCTGTTCAGCTGGCCCACAGCCCACGTTGACCCTGTCTCAGGAAACAGGAAGGACCCAGCCCCCAGTAGGGTCACTGTCAGTCCAGCCCCCAAACACCCCGAAGAATGTCCATCTGGAGAGCTGGAAGCCCCTGCCTTCAGCAGTCCACCCCTCTATGCCCAGTGCCTGGGCCTTCTTTTTCCAACTCTGTGGTTTCAGCTTGGCCCAGACTCCCCACCAGAGAACTGCAGGCTGATTTCCTAAACCCCTTTGCAAAAGGGGAGGCAAAAGCTGAAGATAGGAGCTCACCGTCTGACAGCTCACCCCCTTTCTCCACAGAGGAAAGTCCCTCACACACACACACACACACACACACACACACACACACACACGCACGCACAACCACAAGGAAAGAAGTAGACTCACACGGAGTTAAACAGGTAGGCTCGGCCATGGCTCCCTTGGAAGGACTGTGGAGACACAGGACAGAGAGTGACTACCAGGCCGCCCTCAGCCCCACGGCCTAAATCCCCGTGTGGGAGAGAGGAAGGGCTTTGTGCCTCACCCTGGGCAGTGTTCGGGCTAACCTGGCTTGAGACAGGAGGGGAGTGGTGGCCTCAAGTTAGCGTACCTTGGAAATAAGCTCATCGTGTTTGGCCAGGTGCGCACGGCAGTGGACACAGCTGTACGTGCGGTGGCAGCGGGGCAGGTAGCTGCGGAAAGTCTTGGTGGGGAGGCAGGCAGGGCCTGGGCCAGGGTCACAGCTGGGCATGACGGGCTGGAGGACGATGCCCTGGTGGGCCGGAGGGGCTGGTGCCGTGCAGCCCCCACACAGACGGTCGCAGGTGAAGCAGCGGAGCAGGTTGGCTAGAGCCGTGTTTCAGGGCAGGAGAAATGTGGGGGGGCTGCCCGGCCAGGGCCCCCCCGACGAGAACAAGATAGAAATGGAAGTCACCTGGGAAGAGGAGAAGTTGCATTAGGGAAGCTGCGACCTCACGAGGACCTCTCCTGAGGGAATGGAGGGGATGGGGCTCAGCTCACCTCTATCTCTACTTCCCCCGTCACCATTGACCCCCCTCAGCATCCAGTTGCACTTTCTCCCCATCCCCTGGATCCCCATTCTGCTCTGTCAAGCCTGGCAGCAGCTCCAGGCTTCTGGCGCCGTAGCCAGGGAATTGGTGTCTCTCCCTCCTGGGGCGGTAGCAGCCTGCACCATGTTCCACAGAGAGCAGCCCTCGGGCACAAACGCTGCCATGGGAGCAACGTCATCTGCAAGTGCCCTCTCCTTGGTTTTCAGTTCTTTTGTGAGGCTCTGTATCACACAGGCATTAGTAGGCATCCTGTCTCTGGGGCACAGGACCTTTTTAAAAGTTGGGGATGCCTGGAGGTCTCTCTTTGGGGCTCAGGGCCTTTTTAAAAGTTGGGGCTGTCTGGAGGTTTCTCTTTTTCGTGCCCTTCATTTGCAATACAATTGGTCCTTTATACATTTTGTAGGGAAGGGAGGGGCCAGGGGAGGGAGGGGACGCAGGCAGGCAGGTGCACGCGCCCCGTTTCAGCCTTCTGATGCAGTCAGGGTCCTGCACTCTGGGACTCTTCACTAGAACTTTGTGGATGTGCCCTTAGGTCCCAAAGACCTCGAATGCACATGGGCGGCCGTTCCCAATCCTGCACCTTGGTCCTGCTGATTCCGGCCCAGAAAAAGCACCTGGCTGTCTTCCCAGCCTCTGGGCCCCTTTATTAACTGTTGCCTTAGCCTTCGATTAAAGCCTTAGGCACCCTGCCGGAGGAGAGAAAGTATCTTTCCTTCGGGCACATCTGACAGCTGGAGCCAGTGGGAAGTGGGCAACGCGTCTGGAAAGCCAGACTCTGGGCTGGGCAGGGCCATGTGGCAGAGTGTGAGGGCAACACCCACAGTGGGCGGCGGAAGGGGCACGCTCTTGTTTTTAAAAGCTGCGCTTTGGGGCATGAGGCAGAAAATGTTTCTTTCTGCCTTTTCCTAGGGGCAGGGACAAACAGCAGTGACTCTGTGGGTGACTGAAGATGAAATAATCGCTGGGTTCTGATGAGGAATCTTGAGAAGATGCTGGTGTCTGCCCACACTCCAGCCTCAGAGCAGCTGAGGGTGCTGGAGGCAGAAGATAGGGAGGGAGGTGTCCTCTGTTGGCTCCGATAGGCAGGTGCGCTGCTGCCTTCTCCTTCCTGGGGCCTTCTGGCCCGTTGTGAGTGGTTTAGTCCAAGTCTGGTTGAGTGATGCCAGCTGGGCACTCTGGCAATGCTGGACCATGAAGCAGAGAAGAGACGGCTTTGGCTCCGATTAGCCAGGGCAGACAGGCTCTCCTCGTTCTGTCCTCTGCAGTGGCAAGCACCCCAGCTGTTCCGTTCTTCCCCAGCGTCACCAGGCAATCTTGCCACAGACTCCCCCTGATAGAGACCATCTTCGGTTTCAGGTCCTCACCCCCTGGCTGGGCCTCAGGAAGACACCTTGCGCTGAGTTCAGGGTGACATTGGGCTCTGGCCACAGCAAAGGGGCCCTCCTCACTAGGAGACCACTGTTCAGTGTCCACTTCACAGGTCTACCTTCAACTTTGCCTGTGAGTTCCCCTCTGACATGCACCACCTCGAAACACCTTCTTGGGGAACAGGGGTGGCTCAGGTCCCTGCTCTCGGGACTCCTTTGCTAGCTCCATCCGTCACGCCTCCCTCCCTTTCCCCTGCTTCCCCATCAAGCACGGAAGGCCAGAGAGTCACAGAAGGGGGAGGAGGGGTCATTTCCTCCCCTCTGTCAGATCACAGGGAGAAGCAAGTTGGGCAAATGACTTGGGGAAAAAACAAAGGCAAGCCGAGTGCTAGGGAGAGGATGTTCCCCTGAAGTGAGACAGGGCTGGACTGTGGGAGGTGGAGGAGAGGGAGGGCTGGCAGGGGGAACTGACAGCTGACAGCAGAGGCTCAAGGAACCAGGTGCGAATCCCGTGCCTCTCAGCAGGGGGGAAGAAGGAAGGGGACACCTGCTCACAATGGATTTTCTCAGCTGCTCGGAGATTTCAGTCCCCCTAGGCTGGCATTCTCAGTATGGTATGGTCCAAATAATTAGCGGCACAGCCAGCTCCCAGGGCGGGCTTTGGGGGTCTGCAGCAGCAAAACAATAAACAGTGATGCCTGATGCTGCAGCCAAAGTTGCCGAGAAATAAGTGCGGGAATCGTCAGAGCTTGGAGAGAGATGGAGGAGCCGAGAGAGAGGAGCGGAGGCAGCGGGGAGGGGGAAGGGAGGACAAAGGGTGGATGAATAATGCTTTTGCAAAGGGTAGAAAGCAACACGCAGCAGGAGGAGGAAATTTGCAAAGGGAAAAAAATTGATTTGGAGAAGGGCTGCCCCCTCACCTTGAGGTCTGCTCCAGAGATCTCCGTCTATATTTCTCTCTCTCTCTCTCTCTCAATCTCTCTGCTCACTCTTCTCTCTTCTCTTTCCGCTCCTTCAATTGGGAAAGGGATGGGGTGGGGGAGGGTAGTTGGGGGTTCAAGACTGGGGCTGCAAAGCTGGCCAGCTGCTGGGGGGCCAGAGGTTGTCTCGTTCTGTACCTCGGTCTGTGGGTGAATGTGGCTGTGTGTTGTGGAACTGCATCATAACACTGTGAGTCATCCATCCCCCCACCCCCCTCACCTCCCACGTCAGAGCAGGGCTGGGAGACACACGGGAGGCGGGTCGAGAGGAAGGGAGGGGGCAGGCATCCAGGGACCGGGTTGGGGGAGTGATGCAGGGGACCTGATGGTGGTGGTGGTGGTGGTGGTGATGGTGGGGGTGGTGGGCGAGAGGAGAGGCAGGTGGTGAAGGAGGAAGGCAGCGTGACCAAGGAGATAGAAAGAACCTGGGGGAAGGACAGGGCTGGGCAGGGCTGGAGTAAGGGCGGCAGGGCTGGAGGAAAGGAGATGGCAAGGCTGGTGAAGCGAGAGGTGGATGCAGATTCAGGCAGCACACACACACATTCAGGATGATACATTTTCCCATTTCAGCTTGGAAAGCAGCTCCGAAGCAGGAACAGTAGGATATATTAATTGTCATGGATGGCAAACTGCGCCCCCAAACTTGTACTGGGCACTTCCAAGCCTCAAAAGCTTCAGTTTAATACCCCCAAAGGAGTTATAGACCAAATATGACATCTCACAAGCAGGAACCTCTTATCGACTACCTCCAAATTACTTGTGCCTCACGAATGGAGACATCTGACATTGCATAAGGTTCTCGACCGGGCTGTAAACTTTCTGAGGCAGGTCCTCTGGGAAATTCCTTTCTACATCCCAGGACCTCAGTGCCTAGCCTAGACCCTTGTGTATAGATGTTCACAAAATAACAGTTGAGTTGCATCTTCAGACATGAAGCAGGTGTCTGGCTTTGGTCTCAAAGAAACTGAGTTGGAATTTTAGCTCTGCCAGTTACCCACCAGGAACCACTACACAAGCTCATGACCTGCTTTGTGCCTCAGTTTTCCTCTTCTGCTAAATGATGCTAATAATATTTACCTCATGGAGATGTGCAGTAAAGTGAGATAACATTTAAATGCCTACAAAGTGTCTGGCACAGGATAAGCATTTAGTAAACAGTAGTTGGTGTTATTTCAAAACAACACTCTCAACTTCTTACCCCTAAACCTGGGGAGGGTTTACTATCAAATTCTGACATCTCAAGAACCCATGCCGAATTTGTGTTTTATGAAGAAGTTACATCAGGGAAGATTCTGGGGTTTAAGGTAAATTCTGAAAACACAACATGGGTATCTTGAGGGGCAGTATCAGAGATTTGGAATTGAGAGGAAAACCTGGGTAAAGAATGAAGAGAGAAGTGTTTTTGTCTGGCAGCAGATGAGAAAGGAAATATAAATGGAGGAGGAATTTGAGGGGACATTACTGAGGAGAACAATGAGAAATGGGAAAAGGCAGATGACTAGTTTTTAGGGCACAGACTGAAAGTATGGAAACAAAAAGGATACTAATGAATTTAAATCAACTCGGTAAGAAAATGATCAAGGATTTAGCTGGAGAGAGAATGAGAAGGACATATGAGGACAGCATTATTTGGGGGCGGGGTGGAGATGAAAGTGAGAAAAGAGAGTGTAGGCAAGCACAGCTGCGTTAAATGTTGTGCCCTGACTCTGTGTTTAAGAAGCAAAATGGAGAGCAGTCTAAAAGGGGGAGAAGGGGTTCTTTTCCCTAACTTCAGCATGAGATAGTTATACAATATCCAAATAAAGATGACCTTTATTGGGAGCTAATTGGGAGAAGTTGCCTCAAGGGAGAGAGTGTGGAGGCGAAGAAACAGATCTGGGAGATAGATTCCATGTAAACCAGAGAGGATGAGCTCACTCAGGGAGAAAATTTGCAAATGGAAGACTGGAAATGAATTTTTGAAGAATGGTGAAAGATTAGGGGCTATCTAATAGTTAATTGAAAAACTAACGCATGCATGGTGAATGAATGAAAAAATTAAAGCAAACCATCACAGAAAACTGTGAGAAGTGACAAGTGAGGATGGCACTGCTTGGAGAGTGCCTGCTAAGTAGGGCCAGCAGGAGAAAGGCAAACCAGACAATCTTCCCAGGCTCCTCAATCTCAATTAACCATGTGAGCTGGACTGAAAAAAGTACTCACCTATAAAGTGGGGATGACAATTATAGTGCCCAGTGCACATGAGGATTAAATGAATTTACACCTGGAAAGTCCTAGAACAGTCCCTGGCATCTAACATCATATAACTGCTATAATTATGGTAACTGGACTCAGACCCCAAAACTCCCAGTCGAGTCCTAGCTTTATGCCTGGACAAGTCCCTTCACCTCTCTTAGTCTCCTCCCCCATCTGAAACTGGAGAAAATAGAGCTACTGTTGGGTGGCTATAAATGGAGTTACCTGAGGGGGCTTTGAAAAATGTTAAGTATTGTACAAATGGATGGTATTACTATAGCCCCTCCCAGCTTTCAATAAAAACTTAAAAGCTAATATCAGATATTTTCTATGTTACAGGCATTGTGCTTACATACGTAAATCATCTCTCCAGTCTTCCAAACAACTTTAAGAGGTTGAGTACTGTTGTCCCCATTTTATGGACAAAAAAAAACAAGAAACGAGGCCGGGCGCGGTGGCTCACGCCTGTAATCCTAGCTCTCTAGGAGGCCGAGGCGGGCGGATTGTTCGAGCTCAGGAGTTCGAAACCAGCCTGAGCAAGAGCGAGACCCCGTCTCTACTAAAAATAGAAAGAAATTAATCCGACAACTAAAAATATATAGAAAAAATTAGCCGGGCATGGTGGCGCGTGCCTGTAGTCCCAGCTACTCGGGAGGCTGAGGCAGAAGGATTGCTTGAGCCCAGGAGTTTGAGGTTGCTGTGAGCTAGGGTGATGCCACGGCACTCACTCTAGCCCAGGCAAAAAGAGTGAGACTCTGTCAAAAAAAAAAAAAAAAACAGTTTCAGAGGGATGAAGCCTGTGATTTGCTCAAAGTCACAAAGTGAGCAAGTGGCATAGCAAATACTATACGATTCCAAAGCTGAAGTTCACGAGAAGAGGATTACAGATTTGGCCGAATCTGTTGGCTGCGGGGTAAATGGTTGACCTTGTATTACTGTCAGCGATTTGGGGGTGGTGAGGGGAATAGGGTCCCCAACAAAACTTCCCGCTTACTGGGAGAGAGATTGTTGGATAATGACCGACTTACAAGGCAACGGGAAGAAATCATTGGACTTTTACTCTTTTATTAAAGAATATGTTTTGGGGGAATGTCTCCTATGTGCCAAGCACTTATGTCAGGTGGAGGATGACAACTCAGAACTCAGTGTAGCCTTTGACGTGCTCGTTTTCTTCCGCTTTCCCTACCCCTCAGCTTACTCCTGCCCATGCGAGGTTTTGCTAATTTCCCCACTTCCTGGCTAGTGGCACAGGCGAGCAGGCCATCGTGGGACCTAGATAGTGAGCCTCTCTCCCTTCCTGGCCGTCCTTCCCTTTCCCGGGCCGCAGAGAAGCAGGAACACCCAGGTGAGACCCCGCAACTGACGCCCCTCGGCTGAGGTCTGCCCCTCGTTGGGTCCCGGCCACGCGCGGGGGCGTAACCGCCACGCCTCCTACTCCCTTCAGCCGGCGTCACCACAATGTCGGCCGGCGCCCCTCCCACCTTTGGCGTCACGATCAAAACAATCCTTTGACTACAACTCCCAGAAGGCTGAGCGGCCGCGCGAGCTTACCCGCTCCCGGCTGTTCCGTCACAACTACACATCCCAGGGGGCTTCGCGCGACAGCATCTTCTTCCACTGCGCAAGTGCGGAACTACATTTGTTTCCGGCGTGGGTCTGAGAGAGCGCGGCTTGTAGTTGTGCTTAGGTCCTGCTTGGGGCGCCTTTCGCGTTTACCTATTGGGCTCGTGGCCGCGCAGGTGAGATAATAAGCTCCAGAACGCAACTGTCTCTTCCGCGGGGCTTGGGCAAATTTCGGTGAGATTTCTGGGGAGGTTGGGACAGATGCTGTACCTAGAGCTACGGTCCAGGATCAGAAGTAATTTTTAGCTTCCTTGGGGTTTTGTAGTTTATGAAGTGCTTTTTTCCTCCCACAATTCCTATTAATCCCCAGAACTATACCATATGCGAGGAAGTTTAAGTATCTCCAGTTAACGGCTGAGGAAAAGGTTTAGAGAAGTTAAGTGAAACGCTACTAGTAGTTGCAGAGCCGGGCCTTATGCTGTTTTCTAAGTTCAAGCCCAGTGTCCTCTGCTTTGCATTCGGATCGCAGACGCCCTTTCTCGTTGACTGAGAGGGTTGAGGAGTGACCATCTGTTGCTTTCTCAAGTCTGGCAGTTCACCAATAGAGTAATGAAGGGAGTGATGAAGGTGATATCATCAAGTCTTCTGTCAGCCTGTAGGTATAGTTTTCCTCTTACGTCTGAGTCATTTATTCACTAAATGTATTTATTGGTGTGCTTACAGTTTGTCAAGCCCTATTCTAAGTGCTAGAGATACAGTAGCAAACAAAAATGCTCAACCCTTACATTCTAAGGCACGGGGACAGACAGTAAACATATATAGTGAGAAAGATGATAAGAAACATGGAGAAAATTAAGGCCAGGCAAGGGGAAACATCCATTGGAGGATTTTGGACAGAGGACTGACTTAGGATTAGATCTGATTTTTAATTTGTGTTCTAGGCACAGCAGCTACACAGAAAAGATGGGAGAGGAGGCCAATGATGACAAGAAGCCAACAACTAAATTTGAACTAGAGCGAGAAACAGAACTTCGCTTTGAGGTGGAGGCATCTCAGTCAGTTCAGTTGGAGTTGTTGGCTGGCATGGCAGAGATCTTTGGCACAGAGCTGACCCGAAACAAGAAATTCACCTTTGATGCTGGTGCCAAGGTGGCTGTTTTCACTTGGCATGGCTGTTCTCTGCAACTGAGCGGCCGCACGGAGGTGGCTTATGTCTCCAAGGACACTCCTATGTTGCTTTACCTCAATACTCACACAGCCTTGGAGCAGATGCGGAGGCAGGCGGAAAAGGAAGAAGAGAGAGGCCCCCGAGTGATGGTAGTGGGCCCCACTGATGTGGGCAAGTCCACAGTGTGTCGCCTACTGCTCAACTATGCAGTGCGTTTGGGCCGC